ACTGTATATTCACTTTCCAGCTCAGGAATGGATTCTGACAGTCATCTGTGGCACAGTCTTCCTGAAAGAACAAGCAGATTAGAATAGTAGATATTCAAATAATGAACCTACAACCTGCAGTTGGGCTGCATTGCTGTAGCCCACAACAAAATAAAAAGCATAAATATATACATACCTATTCTTCTTGTGCCTTCCTTTTTCTACTCATCATCTGTAAAATTCAGAGTAAATTTGAAACATATTGACAGTGTTTCAGAAGAAGCATTACAAATTGTTACGGTTTAGTCCCCCTCACCGGGAGGGAGAGGGAGAACTAAGGTAGGACTCAAGATTGCTGACCAAGGTGCTAGTGAGAAAGGTGATTTAATGGGAAAAAACAACGTAGTACAGAGTCCATTATACATACAACTAGGGTTGGGCAGTGATGGCTAAGGAGACCAGGACGAATAGGAGAGTAGATTGGCTGACGGCAGGAACCAGGAGAGGAGGAGGACGAGGACAGATAGGTGAAAAAATAAAAGGGTGGTGAACGACCAAAGAAAACAACAGCACAGGAACTGTCAGCGTTGAATTCTATTTACACATCGCTAAGCTTGTAGAAACAAAAACATGCAAAGAGGTCCACAGCACAGAAACTGTCAGCGTGGAAAACAAAATGACGTAAAATACATACCACGAATATAGGGCTGTTATGGGGTATGCACGTTAGGTAAATTAATGCTCCGACGACGACGGAGCGTCTGCCAGAGGTATAAATAAGGAAGAGGCTAATCATCGGGATGCACCCCAGCTGTGCGCACCTACAAACGAGTCGCTAATTACTGAAAGCAACACAGCTGAGGTGCAGATCCCACAGGATCGAGAGCATAGAGGAGAGATAGGCGGAAGAGAGGCAGGCCGCGCCGAGCGGACCTGACACAAATAAATCATACATCAGCTTTATTTTCCTGCATAAAGTTGGCATATCTTCAAAGACTATTTAAATAGCTTTAATTTGTGAGCCTCTATTTAAAGCCGTGGTTCTCAAAGTGTGGGGCACGCCCCACCAGCTAGGAATAAAGACATGACAGGTGGGGCGCAATGAACGGGGAAAATTAGAAATGGGTCATTAATACAAATGAATTAAAATAATATCAGTTCAGAGCCTGGGAGAAAAAAGTGGAACCATAGTGCAACAATAACAGTTTAACGTCGGCATGTTAACTGCCGTGCAACAATATAAGGAAACGTTCACACAGAGGGCCAATAGTGTACATAGTAGGTATAATAACATAAATGGATAAATGTGTTACATGGACCACAAAAAAAAACTGGCGAT